GGCCAGTGGGCAGGGCTGGTCAGGAGGGCAGTGTTTTCTGACGCTCGTCGATCCAAGCTGAGCCGCCTTGAGGTGATGCTCAAGGAGAAGACTGAGCTCTGCCCCAGTTTGTTGGACTGGGAGAACTCTCCGGGGGAAGGAGCGAGCGATTGAGCGATCAAGCTCAGCCATGCTCTTCTGCTGGGGGAGCGGTTCCTCCGGCCGGCCAGGCTGGGGCAAGAAACGGGCATGCCAGCTGGTCCCCCTCCGACGCGCTCCGCCGGAGGTTGGGGGCCAAGAGGTGGCCCGGGTGGCTTGCCGGGGGCGGCACCCGCTCCTGCCTCTCGCCGACGGGAGCCTGGCTTCTTGCGGGGACAACACCCAGGGGCAGCTGGGGAACAGGCTCCCCGCGGGACAGCGGAGACGCTACGTGCCAGGTAGGAGCGGGCAAGGGGATTAGACCCAGCCCGGTCCTCTCCAGACGGGCTTCTTTTCGCGCACCGAGCGTCGTTTTCATCACACGTTGCCCGGGTTGACCCTTCGCGCACCGGTGTGGTTTGTTGAACCCACCGCCAACTCAACACCAAACCAGCTCGGTTTGGGCTTAGCTCGATGCCTCGGCGGGGCATCGGTTGACCGGCAGCGCATTTGCAGCCCCTCGGTCCTCCAGAAAGCCTCCTCCTGTTAAGTTTCGCTTTCGTTTTCCAGCGTGGATGAACGCGCATCAGTTTCCTCCGAAAAGGAATCGTTTCATGATCGCTTTCGGTTTCCTCTTGTGTGCTGCGGGGGTGCGGCTCCGGGCCAAGTTGGGGATTCCAAGCGTGGGGGGGAGAATCCTGCCAAACAGCACCCCGTCCGAAATACACACTAATTTACATGGACGAATGTGAAGGGCTATTGACTATCGCTCTTTTTTAAAAAAAGGAAATTTCTCATCGCAGTAAAGTAACCCTGACGCGCTGTCCACAAATTAAAGGGTTTATCTCCCGTTCCCTACTCTTAAATCTCCCTTTTAAACTCTGTTGTAATTCCAACCCCGTAAATGGATGGTATGGACAATCCGTCCAGTATTTTTTGTTAGGGATTTTCCCTGCAATTTTTTCATTTCTCCCTTTTGCCTTTGTTTTTGTCATGGTGTATCTCTGTAAGAAAAGAAAAGACTGGGAAAAGGGAGCAATTTTGTTTCTCTCCCCCCCCACCTCTCACCCCTGTTCTTAAACTAGCTATAAAAAGATCTGTCTATGGAAGCAGCCTTGTGTCCCACTTGATTTATAGAACCCTGAACCTAAATCATGCGTATCTCTACTTAGATAAGTGCTTCTGCACATGATGGATTCAAGGCACCCAGGTAGCATTTCTTTGGAGGGGGGAAATTATATAGGGCACATTTTGGACACATAGTTGTTCAGGTAGAAAGAAGTGTCTTCTACCTCTCATGTAGCTCACTGGGAGGAACTAGTTCTGGAGAGTTCATGTCAGGTGCATGATAGGTGCACAATGAATGGTTTGGGTTCCAAAATGTGACCTAAACCTGTCTCAATACATTGGGAACAAACCTCAAGCATGTGCTCTTCTTTCAGATTCTCCTGCTTGTATACATGAGAAAGAGATTAAAAGCTGCTGTATTAGCAATTCCTGAGCATCAAAAACTTAGAAGAAACATAATTTGCTTCAACTGGATAGTTGAAATAATGACATCATAATAATACTTCTCCCTCTCTAGTTTGAGAACTCATATAAAGGAAAGAATATACTAGATGTCTATATATCTCCCTGCCTACCAACCTAAAAAGCTACAGGGCTGCTATAGCTCTTAAAGCTAAGGGCACTGTATGGAATAGAAGGGCCTATGAGTTTGTTTCATGGCAGAGGCGTTTGAACCACACAAAATCTAAATTAGCTGTACAGTAATGGCTATATGGGCCTGGGGAGTCCCCATAAGGATGGAAGTGGTAGTACACTGCCTTCTGGTAGTCAAGTGAGCAGGAATAATCACAAGAATATACAGTACAGTATAATAAAATAAAGGAAAATCAGGTGTGGATGTCATGAAGAACTAGGAAAAATAACTCTTAGTCACATTGCTGGATTGTTGCATTGTCTCCACTAAGAACTGCCTGCTCAGGGTTGTCCCTCTCCCTTCCCCCACCAAAAAAATAGCATGAGAACTAGAAACTGTCTTTGGGGTTTTCCTTTCTCTAGAGTTAAAGCACTATTAAAGCACTGTCTACCCTTTCTTGAGTTAGCCCAAAACAATACTGGTGTTACATTTGCTGTCTTCAGAGCCAGCCCCCAGCTGCCTCTATTGTGCCTGTTCCACCTCACTGCCAGATGGCATTCTCCTGGTTTGTGGGTGTGGCATGCA